TCAGATACTATCAAGCAACATATTGCTCATCATGGCCATAACTACTAAATTCAAAGTTAGAATCCGAAGTAGTGCAAAACCATCTAGATCCAGACATAAGGTTTGTATGAAGACATTCCAACAGTCACATACCCCTAAACAATAAACACTGTTATCCTTGGTAACATTTCACAAGAAAATTGCAGCTTAATTCTAATTAAGGGTACAGTATATCTGCTACTGAGCATTAAACTCAAACATTAAAAGACTCTTTAATTATGTCATTCATATGAACTCCATTTTTATTGACATGGAAGTTCATCTCCAGAGAACAAAATCATCAAGGTTTAATTCATCATATGCTGTACAGAACTCCAACACCATGAATAGCTGTCTCTTGAAAAACTGATATGTCTAAACTGTCATTTTTGTTAAATGCTTCTCGGGAACTTTGTGTCAACCTTGCTTCATCATCATCAGAAAAGCATTGCTTCATCATCTCCTGCTGCTGACAATCAGCACACAACAGCAGGTGGTTGGACTTAAAATTTCAGTTTTATTTTTTTTACTTTTATTTGAAGTTCCAGCCTTCATTATAAGGTAAGTAAAATGACATAAAACAATATTTTCAATCATACAGACCAGAAACATTTAGAGAAATGGGGCACAATCTGAAACTTTTTTTTTCAAGACAGAATCTGGTTGAAATGGATTGGATCACTCTCACCCTATATAGTAATCTTTGTTTAACTATAATATATGGTTCTGCACAAATTTAAGAATTAAATAACAATAAATTTGCAGTGACTCTGCTAGTACCTGACCACCTCGTGTTTGTTATAAACAAAGTGTTGACAAGAACACTTAATGGTGTATGGAATAATGCCATGCTAGTTTACTTATTACCAGCATACACAATTTGTTTCTGATGCTGTTTTATTTGCAGTCATCACAAGGACAGTTACCAGTCGAGAATCAGTATACCAAGAGATAATACTGCAGAACAGGTGTTAAATGACTCAACAGGAAATGCTTCATTTCTGAGAAACCTCTTCA